ATCGAACAAAAATATGATACGTGTGAAATAAAAGTAAAAAAAAAATAAGAAAAAAAGACGATGATAGAGGGTGCTTTTTTTAGAGACTGGTGGTGTTTTGCGAGCAGTGTGCGCCGCGATCCGGATTAATCGATTAATCGAGAGTATAAAAAGGGGATCAGACAGCCAGAGATACGGGAGACGATACGGGGACGGTTTGGCGGATAAAGTTCGGTGGTGAACTGGGCACAAAAGAGCGATGGGTTAATGTAGTAAATCGTTACGCTAAAAATTAATCAAATCATACGAATTATTACGTACGAGAATACCTCATGCTTTTACCACCGGACAGAGGAAACCCTAGAGACTAAAAGCTAGCACAGGCGAGACTCGTATATATATATATTGCTTCTGTTTGAAAAAATATTTGTTTGTTTTGCATTCGACACTAAGAAATTAATCCCGACCTTTCTCCATTTCTCTTCGCATTTTCCCATCCGCTGCCCGTGGCATCCGGTTCTTCCGGTCAAAGTATTCTCCACCGATTCTTCGCCATAATTTCTTCTCATCTTCGTTCATTCTCATCCTCCCAAGAATTAAGTACAATCTTGTATTATAAAATTTTGATGACCGATTCCTCTTTCCGAATTCTCTTCCTTCCTCAACTTTATCTTCAATTCCGGTGAAGAAGTTTTATTCTCATTCGCTTAGTCATTATTTTCCCTTGGGAAGAGCCATCGCAGTCCTCCTGATCCGTTTCGTCGCTCTTGACCTTTCCCGGCTTGAATAACCCCTCCACGAGTAGTAGCTACGTGCGCCCCGATTCAACGAGTTAGTTTAGCAAGCTGGAGGCGTCGAAATAGCAGCCACCCCTACGTTTTATTCGCTTTCGAGACCCGCTGGGCATATTTAAACCAGTAAATATCGCGAGCTTTATTCATACGGTGAATTCTTACCGGCCCTTATTAAAAATTTCAAAGCCGCACGGATCTAATTAGTAATTTCATTTAGCTTGAATACGCTTTCAGGTATGAAAACATTTAAATAGCAGCAGCGACGAATGAATCAATGGAACAACGTCAATTTGTGTATTCGCACATTTGTACAAGCTCTTTGTATTATAAAAGTAAAAAGAGCTTATTATTTCTGACTTATATTGATTCATACGCGAAAGGTTTTGGATCGTGTCATACTTTCACTTTTTTTTAAGTTTGGCAATTTTAAATTTCGTCCGGATTTCTCGAGCGCACGAAGCTACAGCTCGTAGGAAGAACGCCATCGTTTCTTCTCTCTTCAGGTGTGTACAGCCAGTACAGGGATCGTGGACGCGTCGCAGGAACGAACGTATCGGTAAAAGAACTAACAGAGAGGCAAGAAACGAACACAGAGAGAACGTGGGCGAGAGCACGGCGGAAAGACGCTTTTCTTAGTTGTATTTGCAACGACCTTAAAAACGTTTACGTGGTGAAAAAAGTGGTAGTACACGTGGCATGCAAACGTGGTGACGTGTGGCTTTAACCCTTTCGCACTCGAATTTAAACCGAGAAAAAGATAGAATTTTCTCTTTAGTTTTTCAATTAGATATAATAAATGAGACAGCTGCGAATTTTAATTAGATAGTTAATTTTATGTTAATCTGGTGTCATGAAATATTCTTCATGAAAAGGGTTTGGTTCTAGAGTGCGAACGGAGTTAAAGGGCCTCAATCGATCGATGGAACGTTCCAAACATTGTTTGAATCATTTCTTGAAAGCGAATTGTGCTTTAAAATATTTGCTTGAACCGTCCATTTCTCGACTGTACAGATCTACTTGTCTACAATCGGGTTACAATCGACTTCGGGCTCTTTGTCGCAGTGTGTTAAAATCACTGAAAGCTGGACGCCACTAATCAAGACCAAAAAAAGCCTACTGCATGCATTTCATGGAGATTCGTTTCACATTTTTGGTGACTGGACATCTTTTCCGAGACGACGTATGAAATTCTAAGTTCGACCGATTAAATTATCGAAGAAAAAGGATGCTCAGCGATCGAAGGATAAAAGAACAGTGTGATTGGAAATTAGAATGACTATTCTCCCGCAATGATAAAAAATTCGAGACATCGATCGGCGAAGAGAAACTCCGGGAAACAGGTAGTTATCGCGAAGTTTAACGAGGGAGAAAGAAGTATCAAAGAAGATAAATAAAGTAAAGAAACGAGGGGAACGAAGTTCCAATAACGAGATTGTCTCAAGGGCGTAACAAATGAAAATATAATCGAACCGAAGGGAGAAATAAAGGAAATGAAGATAGAAAAAAAAAAGTTTGAGAAGGGAAACGAGCGATGCATGCCACGTAATCGAATCGCGAAATGGTCAATTAGAATTCTTCCTGGTTTTCTTTTTCTGACAAAGTAGAAAAATTCGTCTTTATTGCCTGGTCAAAAAACACATTCAATTACTCAACTAGGATTTGTTCGATGGACATTACCTAGTAATCATGTCTTAAACGCGTGAGTAATTTGAGAACTTGACATTAAAAAGAATCATACAAATAATAAATTAAAAAAGTATTGTAGTGATTTCAGGCTTTTAATGATCGTTTTTAATTCAGAGATTCAATATGTTGTTTTTAATAGAAGGATCTATAATATGTTATGGTAATGGAACAATTGATTAAATATTATCTCTCTACTGTCAAGTTCCCGAAATTCCTGCCATGTTAAACTATCGAATTCTACGTTATACATATCCGAACACTTTGAAATCGAGTTACCGCGATAACCTACGAAGAGAAATAATTATCTGGAATTAGAGAACCGAATCGATCCACCACGCTTCGAGACGTTTAATTCGATTTCCAGCTTCTTCCTGGAATTTTCTATTGTACCGTTTCATATCACACCGCGTTTCTCTCATCATATCCATCTTTATCTCTTTCTTGATATTCTCTGTTGTCGTTCTTCTTTCTTCACAATCCATTTCCACTATTTCACTCTGTCCTATTGATATTATCTTTCTCTTCCAAGTGGCATTCGGAAACGCAAAGTAGCGCGTTTTTCGATAAAAAAAATGATAGAAAATATAAAAGGGGGATACGATTCTTCGCTTTGTTTTCCCTTTCTGACAATTATTCGTTGTTCTCGATGTGAAGTCTCGCGAGTAATACTGATCTTGCTGCTAGGAAGCAAATACTTTAACGTCAGACAGTAAACATATTTCGAAAGAGAATCAGTCAGTCTGACTATTTTCAACTGCTATCAGTTATTATAATGAATGCAAGTCAATTTTAATGAACAATGAATTATTTTAAATTGTCGGTTCTCATTGATTTATCATGTGGTATGTTAGGCCATCCGGGTCGACGAATTCTTTTTCCCTAAACTCGATTCACAAGGTTCGGTACGGCGTTAATATAAATCGGTATAGTACGTTGCCAATGACTACGGACAACTTATGGAATGTACCGTTTACAATTATAAAAATGTATAAAATATAAAAAGGTAACTCTGTTGCGATCACTAGAAACAACACCCTGTATCGACTTGAAGAATAAAATACATAAAACTTACGCTAATTGTATAAAAAAGAGGAAAAAACGTTCCGATCACGGAACGTCTTGAATACCCTGTAGTTCCGCGATTAATACTAATCTTATTCTAAACTTGATTCACGAGAATGCTTGCGAATAGTAGAAACATCAGCGAGGACAAAAAAAATTAATCCCGAGGAAGATTGATCGTTCTGCTTTGCGTTTTGGTATGAAAAATCGGCTCTTTTTCTCCAGCGAGGGTGAAGGAATTTTCCGGGGATGTTTGTTCTCGCTGTAAGAGTTTCCTCTTCGCAAGGATCATTTCTCGCGATTAGGAATCATTCGTTAATACGACCTATCACTGACCGATAGACGCTACTCGCGTGGCTATTTCTACGTAATTTTCGAGTTTTCGTTAAAAGGAATCATCACTGGGTCGCAATTTTTGTTTTCGAATAAATATTAAATCCTTGTAAGTTTTACGTGTAAGTGTGTAAATGTGTGAGAAAGACGAAGGAACGGGAGCTTGGTCGTGTGAGCACGAGGTCATCCCTCGTCTCCGAGGGAGAACAGAGATTAAAAAAAGACGATAAAAAAAAATGTTTCGAGTAGTAGAGTGAGTAGTCCGCGAGATGGTTGAACGACGAGCAAATTAGTTGTAGGTAAATAAAGTCTGTACACCCACCTTGATTCTGCTGGAATCATCGAGAACCCTAAAAAGAGAAGCTCGTGGGGGCGTGGGGATTGGTTCGAGTTTTCTCGAGGAGTTTTTACTCGCGAGGACCATCTAAGGGTCAGTGCTAGGCCCGTGGCGAGCCGTGAAAACGAGCTGCGTCAGCTTCGTTTCCACGTGAAAGCGTGCCGTCAGTCAGTCGAGTGTATCAAGCGAATTTGGAGAATTCATTACGATACCAATTAATAAATTCCTTTAATAAATCATAACTTGACAATTTCTTTTTAATAAAAAAAATTGCTTCAGCTACTTCGACTGACTCGACACGCGTAAAATCGTTCCTCAGAGGCACAACGAGGGTCCGCTGACTGGACTTCGGCGAAGTTAATGGGAGAAAAAAGCGATAGAAATAAAAAAAATAAGAAAAAATATGTAGTAGCAATCGTGAAGATTATAGACTGTCCTCTTTCTGTCGAGAGACGACGAGTCTCTCCCGTTAGATACTCGTGGCTGTCTTTCAATTTGCTTTCTCTGTCTCTCTCTCTCTCTCTTTCTTTTAAATATATGTTGGCTTGGTCGTGGTGTGTTGGCGGCTGGGGAGGAAACAAACGAAAATAGTGAAACTCTTTTTTTTTGGTTTTGCGTTTTCACTGCGCGTTCGCCGCGAGGTACTCCTCGTTGCATTGCGTTTCGTTGATTCTCGTCTCATTGTCTTTTCGTCTCACTGTCGTCGCCTTTTCGATGGCCTCGCCTTCAGGAGAGCCCGTGGCAATTCTCACGGATCTCGAAGTAGAGATTCAGTAATGCCGATTCCGGCACGTCGTGGAAGCACCTACCCTCTGGCCACTGCACGCACACTGAAACACAAAACACACGAACACATGATTACGTCAGTATGTTTCATCGATTTCTTTATTTTGTAGGAAATAAACTTCAGATCGATTTTTCGCTTGTTGGACAATTCCTTTCTATTTAAATAATAATATACTACTTCTTACTTTTCCATCATTCATTTCATCAATTGCACGATTTCATAAAAATTATTGAGCCTTAGCTATCACATATTAACTTAATACGAAACCAATTGGTTTAAAACAATTGTTAAAAGTCTCACTAGGGAAGATGTGATTCCTGTCTCAATCTATCAGAGTAAGGTCAAATAAAGAGAAAGAAGTAAAGGTGTCTGAGTTCTTCCGCGGTTAGGGTGCTACTCGATCGTATTTTATTTCGCGCGGAGTATGTTGGGTAACGGCGTCCACGTGCGCGTTTCTCACGGAAGATGGATCCAGCATCCATCGGGAATCCTTCAGAGAGAACAGAGGCTCGCTTCGCGCAATAAATTATCCAGTTGTCGATATCAGACTCCGGCTCTGCTGCAGACATTCGCCTTGCCGCCCCCCCCCTTTTTGCCTCACGAGGAAAAAAGAAGGGAAAACATCTGAAGGATTCCAGATGCTTCTCTCTTAGGAATTGAAGTTCAATTCCAAGTAAAATAGATGCGTGTTCGTTTCTGGATTTTCAGAAACATATCTATATATATAATAATTGCTAATGTTTTATGTAAATATGAACTAGTTTTAAATTTTAATTTGGTGGAAGACTAAACGAGATAGACTGTTTTTATTAAGAAACAAGGGAGTTCTATCATGAACGAACGAAAGGAAGGTGCATAGTCGAAACGGTTAAGCTGTATGACGATTGGCTGGTTTCGCGAATGCGGGAACGAACGTGGATTTATCGCAGACCCGTTCCGCGATAAATTACCCGAGACACCGTATTTCACCGGGCAATTTCGATCGGCATTTGTAATTCGGATTGGTCCTGGCCGAGGGGAGGTCCGCGATAATGGAATTTCAAATAAAAACGAATGGCCGGGGCCCGATCGGACGTAGCATCGTTGCTTACGTTATAGCCCGGGCATTTGTACGGCTATTTTTCATCGGCCCCGTAAAAATCCATCAAAAAAACGTGAAATAGATTTTGCGCAGTGGCCGAAAATTGTTTCCGAAATTTCCGGAAACCCGGTTTAATACCGGTGGATCGTATTTCGTGTGGATAATGGCCACTCTGAAAATGTCAGAGATGATTGGTCCGATAGCAAGAGAATAGCCTCTGTATTAGACTCGTGAACCTGATACGAACATTTCCAATTATCCCATTTTGTCTTTCTATCAAGGTCTAATACAATAACTATTATTAATAATAGACATTGTACGATATTCTAATTAATATTCAGTCGTCTGCTATGTGACATAAACCGGGTCTGGTTTTCATTATTATGAAAAATATAATTAAAAATTCCACCAGGATTAAATACAAAATCAGTTCCTCTTTTTGTGGATTGTCCTGATATATTTCTGCTGTTTCGTCAAAGAAAAGGCCTAAAGGAAGGAACTGGGTGAATATATTCGTGGGATTATTAATGGAATTCAGGAGTCACTGTGTGTGGATATGATAAAAAATTTTGAAATTTGAAAATTTGAAAAGAATAATATTGTAATATGGTTTTCAATAAAAATTTTGCCAATTTTCTGAATATAAATATAATTAATTTATAAATAATTTCCGGAAGTTTTTCTTGAAATACCCTTCATCAATATTATCATAAAACAAACGAGACTTTCATTTTTATATAATGGCTATAAAATTGGATTGGAAGTTAAGTGTACTGGAGTAGCAGTGGATTATCGCGAATGAACGATGATTTAGGCGAAAATAATGGGCCTTGATAGCGACTCGGGATGATCATCATTGACGAAGCGAACGTCGCGCGTCGCTGGGAGGATGGATCGTGGGATCGCGTGTTGGATGGTTGTATCTTTGGGCCGAAACGAAAACGGAAAGCGGCGAATTATTCGTCCAACCTTAACTCGGTGATCAGAAGGGAACTAGGTTTCGCGGATGGGCCGCGTCGGCTCGTTACGGGCACGCAATATCTTCTCGAAAACTCTACCAATCTCCTGCATATCTCGGTCTAATTTAAATCTCAATTCTTCAGGTTGATAAACAAACGTGATCAAATGCGATAATGCCGGGGGTTTATTCACATTTTATCTTATTTATACGGAGTGAGTCAATAAGGAGTATCACACGGAGCGACACAATTTTTTTTCTCAATATTCACTACGTGATTCATAGAGATTCTCATGCCAAAACTCAATCTGGAAGCAGAAATGCTCTATTTCCGTAAAATAGCGGTTTTTTAAAAATGCACAATTTTAGAGGAAATTGCTTCCGGATTTGTTTTTGGCACGAGAAACTTTATACGAATCACGCAGTGGATATAGCAAAAAATAAAAAATGTTTTGTTTTATTTGGCTGTGTCATGTGCAATAACTTGTTTATCGATTTTATCAAAACGTGCACCCGTGTATTTTCACAAATCGAAATCTCTGCTAGACTTTAGAATAAATTGCATTACTGAGCAATTTCTTCTCTATCGGTACAAAGAATTCTGATATGAATCCAACATGTACAAGAATTGGAAATTATCTTCACGATTATGGGATGTAAGGAATATCTTGGAAAACATTTCAAGAGAAATTCTCGTTGAGCGAATCTCTTTATGATTCCATTCTCGACAGCCTTCCACCATTTCGTTTGAGCAGAGTCGTTACGGGGTACCTATTTCGACCACGATTTACCCCGAAAACTTCCTGAAGCTACTCGTTTCCTCCTCGCGCAACGACGCCCATTCTTTTTAAAATTGCACATTGTGGAACGGGACCGTGCAAACGTTACAGAAACAACAAGCCATGCGGCACACGCGAGAAACTGCCGTTACGTGGTTTGTTTTCGCCAGCCACCCTCTGTCCCATCGTAAATTTACCCTTGCCCAGCCTGTCGCGAAAATGCTCGAGAAAAACACGATGCGCTCTGTAAAAGCGGACTATTCGCCTTTCTTTATTGACACACAGAATCCGCGATTCTTCGTTAAAGTTGCGTGTTAATAGACCAATCTTTCCAAAGGTCAAAACGTTCAGACAATGAATTTATTTTTTTTTTACAATTGTGATGGAAATAGAAGTCAAGCATTTATGATTAATCAAGAATAATGATTTTCATCGAAACAAATGATATACATTCTTCTTTCTTTATTACCATTTCTACTATGAAAAATATGTAACATTTGATACTACAATTTGTCACAGTCAACAAACTTAAAGGAAACTCTGGGGAGTTACTTTACTTCGGGAAAGGTTCCAAGAATTTCGCGACAGGGAGAACAACGTGAGGTAAAGTAACGCTGCGACATGTGTAGACGAGAAAGTTCGAGAGATGCCATTCATCGATGCGATGGAAAAGCATATAGCTTCCCAGGTTCGTGCGCGCCGGCGACGAATACGTTTCTCGGAGTCGAACCTTTTCGCGTCACTAGACTCCTCCGCGCCACTGCGTCGGCCTCCATTTGCGAAATTGTTTCTACCTGTTCGCATTTTATCAAACGCGAATTCTAGATCAAATAGAAACTTTCATGAATATCTATATACACGTGTCTTACTGCGTTGTGTCGTACAGACATTTTTGTCATGCGTTGAATACATATTTTACAGTTTCACGAGACACGCTTGTTTCATTGGTTCTGTCTAAGGAAAATGAAAGAGAAAGCGATAAGCAAAAACCTAATAGAAATAATAATAAAAGTATATCACGAAAACAAAAAATATAGTAAGAGTAAACGAGAAACACCAGGAAAATTCTAAACCACAAAAAAAGGCATTAAAAGGGTTGGACAAGTAGAGGAGTCATTAAAAGAGTTTTCCTTAAGCCCTACACTGTGTAATTAATTTATAGCAAATTCAGAAGAACTGAGAAACTTATTTTTTTTTAATTTCATCTCCTCGTGCACGTTATAAAATGTGTTAAATTAATGAATTTTTGATCGTATAACATTTCATAGTAACTGTAAACAGTATTTACTTTGCTGAGTGTCGGATAAAAAGAAGTTGAACGATCGCCGGGATGCAGAAAAGCGAAACGAGATTTCTGAAGAACAGTTTCTATACTCGCAATCAGAATAAACGTCGATTTCCATCGAGCGAACTTTCTTCCGACAAACACGGAGAGAATCACGAGCTTATCTTCCACGGTATCATTTTCAATGACGAAAACAATGCAATCGGAGTGCGGGCCTGAGGAATGAAACTGGTTCGAGAAGAGGTCACCATTTTAGATTAAATTTCCTGGTTCTCCATTTTCAAATTAAAATATCGACGAATGTGATCGGTCGAAAAATATTTTTATTTGCACCGACAATTTCACAGAATATGTCCAAACGACGGCACAAAAATAATATATATATATATATTAAAAATAGCCTCTTCGTGTCATGTTTCAATCTTTTAGGACAATTTGCATTTATTTCCTTTTTAGCAAATAAAAACTTTTGAAATGAAATTGAAATTCGAAAGAATCCGAGACGGATATGGAAACTGAGCTGGATATCCGAACACCCCCGAGGGAACTGTTCCATAAAATAGCGAGTGGCGTGGCCCGTTTCACTGGCAACCCATCGCCGGAGGAAAATTAAAAGTTATCGAGCAGTGTAGCCTCGGAAAAAGTCGTTACACGGACTCTGACACGGTAACATCGTGAAAATAAGAATGAAATTGGGAGTCGGTCGGAGTGTGAAAAATGTTACGAAGTTACCTAAGAGATTTACGTGCCCTCTCGCAGCTTGATACTTGAATTACAACTATTTTTATCTTTACCAATATAATTCCATTTGTTAGTGAACCAC